CCACCTACCACCTCTTGCCCAGGACAGTGCACTGCCCTGGTCTCTCTACTCCTGTCCTCACATATAGCACCAGGATGATCCAGCCTCAGCAGTGTTTTCTTCATACCACTGCCCGACCACGGTCTACACAGCAGGCCTTCTGTGGAAGCTCCATGGCCAATTTTTTAGACACTACAGGAAGAACAGGACACATGCAGCCTCCCTGGGCCCACAAAGCCACATGCCCAGCACACTGGGAAACCCGTCAGCTCTTCCAGGCTCCCTCTGCATGCCTGGTACCTGGATCACAGGCAGAGGGACTCCTGGCTTAGCCAACATCTGTCTGTATGCCCTCCAATTAGACCCCTGCCCATCCCACGGGCAGGAACTGCTCCCTGTGCAAGGGGCTCAGGGAGGCTGCTGGCTGGGTAGGTAGGGAACCTGGCTGTCACTTTCACTTCTGCTCCCATGGGAACTCCTCGTGAAGATTCCACCGAAGGTGTCCCAACCAAACCTCTGCTCCCCAAATTTAGACCAGCTTTCCCTGGAGCCAGAGGTGCTTATGTGTAAACAGAAACACATTCAGATATAAGCATGCGAATGCACACACACATGTGCATGCGCACACACACACAACCCCCACAACTATGCTGCTGCACAGAGTGTGGACTTATACCTCATACAAATCCAACTGCATGCCCACAGAGAAAGGGTAGATCCAAATAAAACCAACTAATTCTTCTGGCTACTTCTGCGGATCCATAGCACATGAAACCATGTGGATGGTGCTGGGTGGACAGTTCTGGGGTTGGTCAGCCCAGTGCTGGCCCTGGACTTAAACTTTCCTGAAGCCCGTCCCATGAGTCTCGTCAGTGTCCACTCATTCATTCCAAATTTACATGGGAGGCAGCACCCATAAAGGCTAGAACCATCTGGGGCTCACACTTCCTTCCATGCCAATGGCCACCCACCATGAGGGAAGACTCACCGCTGAGGATCTCATTGTTGTTCCCCCAGAAGTCTGCTAACTTGGATGGTCTGTGGTAGAATTCATCCCTGTTGGCTGCCAGGATGAGCCTGAAGGAGAAAACACAACTGCAACTCTCAGGTGAAACAGAAAAGCCACGTGTTTTCTTTCTAATTAACAAAGAAAATTCGCCTCAGTAACAATATGGGCAAGTTCCAAAGAGAACAGAAACCCACATGGGACAAAGGTCTGCCCCAGTTCCAGGCAGGCAGTTTCCTGGGGAGCCTGTGACTGGGACTGTACCCCTGGTCCCTCCAGAGGAAATACAGAGGAGATGGGTGAAGACCATGGGGCCAAGTGGGAAGGTGCCCTCCTGTGCATCTGTCCTTTCCCCTGAGGACACCCAACCAGTGTCCTGGAAGTGTAAGTAGGCCCACCAGGGTGGCCTGGGAATGCATGTGGACCACAGCAGCATACAAGTTCTCCAAGGGCTGCTGTCTCAAGTTTGGGTGTCTGGGGGAGGAAATGTGTGAGAACGTCTCTGTGTTTCACTAGTTTTTTTTCCTTATAAATCAAACAAGTGTTTTCTTTGGCAATTAGAAAAGATGTCACAGTTTTCAGAGCACTGGTTTGGAGGTAAAAAAAAATCAAAGTCTCCAGCTGACTTTGCCATTTAAATAAGAACATAGATGGTGACTAAGTGGGGCACATCTGGGTCAAAGAAGTGGTTATCAGAGGAACCTCTGAGCACCACTGGTAGGCACACAGGTGAACAGAGGACAAGGGGCCAGAGGCTGGGGCTTGTGTGCAAAGGGTTCTAGCTCTGGACAGGCTGTGGTCACACTAGGTCTGAAACCAAACTAGTCTAGTCAGTAGTCTGTCCTAAAAAGTCTTTAAAAATAATTTTTGTATTGTCTCATTAATTTCATGAACATTTGCTCGTGGTACAATGTGAATTAACAAAGATGGTTGTAAAATTGAAAGTGAAACCAGTGCCAGGCCATGGAAGTGTTGTTACCCCAAGCATAGTGGCATGTGATCACCCTCCCCCGGCTGCCAGACTCTGCGCCTCCCCATGCAGCCCCAGTCACAGGTGCCAGCACAGCCAGGGACTGTGCATGGCCATGGAACCCTTGGGTCTGCCCTGGAAACCTCACTGCCTTCAGTAACCCCATCTGGCCTACAATTGCTCTCTATCCCCCCTGCACAGCTGGCTCAAGGGCTGCACCAGGTCTCAGGGATGTGCACCCAAAAGGGAAAGGTCCCCGTCCCTGATACAAGCCCCAGTTATTCACAGAACGATCCTATGCAACTCCAACTGCCAGGTTCCAACCTGGACCTCATCCTCAGGTGGAGACAGACGGTCTGAAGGAGAAGGCACTTGGGCCCTGACCTCTGCCTCCTGGCCACATCTGCTCTGTCCCTTTGGGGCCCCAGTTGGCCCTGTTCTGGCTGGCCCTGCTCCCACAGGCTGCCTGAACAGGCCGGCCTGGTGGAAAGTGCCCCATCCACCATGGCCTGGATGGCAGTCAGGAGGAGGGAGAGTGCCACATCCCCGAGCTGGGGGAGACTCCACAGCTGTGGTGGGAATATGCAGCAGGGGCTGGGCTCCCCTCCGACCCCTGTGGGTGGGGGTCACTTCACATGGTTAGGATCAAGCACCTGAAACAAGGCTGATGCTGTCGGCTTCTGCTTTTGATTCCTACATAAGGCTTCAGAGAAGGAAAAATTAGGGAAAAAGAAAAAGAAAAAAAGCTCACTGAGCAGAACCTTCTGCCTATTTTTAAAACAAGGAGCAGTTACGTGTGTTTGTTAATAATAGAAACATTAACTGCTGGGTTATTTTCATCAAGAGTCTCTAGCTGAATTTTGTGGTTTGCTCAGGATTTCATCAAATACATACTTCAGAAACAGGCAGGTGTGAGGAGTGCCTACTTAGAGGCTCCAAATAAGGAACATATTCCTTCAGTCACCACTTCTGGGATCACAACACGAATAAAAGTCCGTCTGCGTCACTGCGTCCAGAGGCAAGGAACTTGGCCACCACAGCAAGGGGCTCTGGGGAAGGCAAGCCACCCATGGCTTTGTTTTGTTCTAATAACTGAAACCACTAATTAATTATCAGGACCAACAGGCACTCCTCGCTCTGCTGCTGAGGGTAAATCTGTGAGCTCACAGTTCACTTTGTATATCTTGTGAGGGATGATTTTTTTTTTCAAAGAGCACATATCCCTTTATAATCAAGGAAGTAATGTCAGTGGAATCCCATCAGAACACAGCTGCCTCTACAGAGCATGGCAAGGTCACTGGGACCCCGGAGCAAAGCTGCAGCCAGCATGGAACGTCTAAGTTAGCATCTCATAGGCTGCTAAAGGAAGTTCTTAACCACTAGGCTCTTTGCCAGAGCACCACAGACAGTCATACTAGAATTAAAAACAAGAGCGAAACCAACAGGCACCCAGACTATACTCACACTGGGTAACTGCCACCAAAATATGGAGGTTCCAAGTATCAGGCAACAACAGGCATGGGGGGCAGAGGCTGGGACCACCCAGGGGATTACAGCCCTGGGCAGAAGCCATGACACACTGTGTCCGAGATGACCCCAGGAGGGAATGACATCTGAGGAGCCCACCTGTGGGCAGCTGACATGCAATCTGGAAGGCAGACCACACCTGCACGAGGGCCAGCCCAGCACCAAGAGGACAGATGGGGAGGCTGGAGGGAACCTGGGGGTTCATGCCAGGGTGGTGCCTGGGGGGAAGGCAGCAGTGGCATGTGACATGGGGGGCTGCTACGCCTAAAGGGATGGGTACCTCCAAAAGGGAGGGCAGCAGAGTGGCAATAAGAGGGGTAGGGGGTGCGGAACGCGGGGTCTAAGACAGCCCGGCCCAGTACTAGGCTTAGAGTTGCTCTACAGAGACCATGCTTACATTCACTCTCTGGGCAGGTGCCGAGCTGGCTCCCCTCCCTCCATACTGCAGGCCAGCCAGACAGTGATTGCTGAGTCTGGGCATAAACAGACCACAAGATGCACACTCTGAGTGGCCGATGCTTTCTTCTATGGGAAAGAAACAACAAGATGCTCAAACACAGCCGAGAGAGAGAGATGCTTCAGGAACCATGCCTGCCACCAGCAGGGCAGCAAAGCAGCAGGACAGGCCAACCCTGAACATCACTGGGCTGTCCTGGGCAGGGTGTGACGGGGACAGGCTCACCTTTCCCCTTCCACAGAACTCCTGGGAAGCTAGAAAACAAATTCCCATAAGATCAGCATCTGGAAAAGAGTCACAAGGGTCACTGCCCACGGCATCGAAAATGAGAACGTCTTAAGTCTCTTCTGCAAGCAGAGGCGACCTGTTTGAATCACATTTATATACAAGGTAATAATGGCCACAGGTCCAAATGGAAAAATCCTCTTTGCAATCATCTAACCTGGAGCAACACTGACTACAGGGATAAGCTTAATCCACAAATATGAATGAAAACAGGTACCATCTGTTACCCTGAGGGGCAAGAGGCCACTGTATAGTCGATATTGAGGGTGCTGGAGGGAGCACAGGGGTCTCATCAGTCCCAGCCACATGGACCAGATTTTTGGGTAGCAGGGTCCATGTGAACACCAGCCCTGGCACCGGGACCATCTGGATAAGGAGAGAGGACCTGGTCTGGATGGTGTACAATGATGACACTCTCTGCTATCCAAAAGGGGACATGGGCTGATACAGCGAGGGGAGCCTATGACAGGGCCATCAAAAGACATGTGAGGAAATCAATTTGGCAGTTCCTCAAAAAGTCAGAAACAGAATTGCCATATGATCCAGCAACTCTATTTTGGGTACACACCCAAAAGAATTGGAAGCAGCAGTCAAACAGATACTTGTACACTAATATTCATAACAACATTATTCACAACAGCCAAGAGATAGACACAACCCAAGTATTTACTAATGGATGAATGGATAAATAAATGTGGTCTCTCTATTCAAAGGAAAGAAATTCTGACATACTACGACATGGATGAATCTTGAAGATGTTGTGCTAAGTCGAAATAAGCCAGTCACAAAAGGATAAATATTGTATGATTCCACTTATATAAGGTACCCAGGGTAGTCAAGGTCATAGAAAGGAGAATGGTGGTTGCCAGGGGCTAAGAGGAGGGGGAATGGGGATAATTATTAAATGGGGACAGAATTTGAGTTTGGGAAGATGAAAAGAGCTCTGGAGATGGACAGCAAGTGATGGCTGGAAAACAATGTGAATATACTTAATGCTGTGGAACTAAACACTTAACAAATGGTTAGAATGGCAAAATTTTATGTTATCTATACCTTATCACACACACACAAACAAAGGACACTCCCATGGAGTGCTACATGGAGGGCAGATGATGATACAGCTGTGGATGCCAGGGCAGGGGGCAGAGGCTGGTATATCCCAGGCCAGGACGGCGATGGCTAAGGTAAGAAGGAGCCCAAGTGAGGGGCGCGAAGGCAGGCCTGGCTGGCCCAGATAGGCCCTGGCAGTCCTAGACAGCAAGGGCCTCCTCCCCTCTATGCCAATGGCCCTGGCACCGGGCCTGCTCCCGCTTCATTGCTTCACTGAGAGTCCCTCCTCAATCTCTGACATGCCCAGGCTCAACTCACGTAACCTCTCACTGGCCTTGCTGCGGTTTCCCTCCCATGGCAGTCGCCTCCTGGCTCTCCCTGTCCTGTGCTCGCATCACACACATACAGAAGTGCACATACAGAGAGCCCGCAGCTTGCCGTTCTCACTGCCTGAACGCCCCCAGAGCTAGAACAGGAGCAGTTACCAGAAGCCCCTCTGGCCCTCCACGTAGTCGAGAAAACACTGAGTATATTCAGTCAGTCACTCAGAGACGGCATATTTAGTCTTTGGCTTAGAGCTTTGAAAAATACGAGAGAAACGCTCAGGCTGTCTTGAATCACAATCCACAAGAAGTTAGTTGTTAGGAGCACAGGTCCTGGCAATGATGTACAGGTTCTGAGCAATAGAAAGAGAGATCCATGCTCACCCTCCTCCCTCCTTCTTTCCCTTTTTATTTTACTTGCAGGCGGTTGGAGGTAACCTTAGGAAACAGCATATTCAGTGGGGCTATGGCTGAATCTGGGAGTAACAAATATAGGCAGTGATCAAGTTAGTGACTGTCAGGCTGCCTATCTTCATTTGAGAAATTCTTCACTTGTTTAGTGGAAAGAGAGTTGTTTTGTTGTATGGGTGTTCAAATGAGTACAGATAGTTGCATATAAAAGCTCAGTAGCCAAAGAGGTGGACCATGCCAGTTATCCATTTATTGCATCTCAGCCCCAAATTCACCCTTCATTGCCTGTTATGTGATAATGAAGCTGAACTTTGCAGCTGGTACCATGCTAAGTTTTGTCAGTAAAGGGTGCCAAAGAGACACTGGAGGAGGAGAGCCTTCTTTTCCTGGCTCCTGAGTGCTTTCTCTATAGGTTCCTATGGCACACGTGACTTCATCAGGCATCAGTCTCCTGTGAAACACGTGGCTTCCACAGCTCACAATAGTAAGCAGCACCCAGTGGCCAGCACCTTCCCCCCAGCATCCTCCCTGCAACAGTTGCTAGGACCCTTGAGGAAAGATTTCCAACAAGTTCTGCCAGTGCAGCACCCCAGAGATTTCTCTATTATCCAGTGTGCCATGGCTGTGCCTCTCCAGCAAGGTCTAGATCTCAGCACGGAGGTGAAGGATGGGGCTCTGCCCTGGGCACGCCAATCCCATTATAGTGAGTATATTACACTTTCCCTGCTGAAATCACTATGCCTGGATCCTGTCTAGAGGCTGCACCCTGACTCACACAGCTCATCCTATTGGGGGATGTTCCGGGTCAGCTCCCAGACCCTGGTCTGGCCCTGCTACCCACTCCTCTGCAGGAAGAGAACACTGGACACTCTTCATCCTCTGTTCCCTGGCCTGGAATGAGTTAATTCAGCCACGACATTAGGTAACATTGTGTCTGTGATTTTGCATGGTGACCTAAATCCAAAAAGCTAGTTAAAATAGTGCATCATTTCTGGTACAGATTTAAAAATGATGAAAACGTCCCAGGCAATTGCATTAGTAAGCAGTTTCAAATGTCATTTTTGGTTGTGGGTTACATCTCAGCCTCATTCTCTGCGTGGATAAATGCCAATGGGTTCCCGCTGGGGTGACCTGGGGAATGGAGGGGTGTCGTTCAGAGTCATGGAGAGAAGAAGGTCTTCCATTTCCCACCTCCTCGCACCTTGACACCACCACCCAGACTCCTCATGGGCAGCATGAACCACCAGTTCAAATGGGGCTCTCGCTCACTGTCACCCCAATTCTGCTACCTGCTGGTCTCCTTACAGAGCCTGTAGGGCTGTGCTCCTGCCTGGACCCACGTTGCTCCTCTGTCCTGCCCACCTTTAGAGTCTTAATATGTTTGTATATCTTTGGACATTGACTCAGAGTCCACCACCAAGAAGTATTCCCTCCAGCGTCCCACACTGAGTGACTATTATCTGAGAGGGCAGGGCCAGGCCTTTGCAGCTCGTCCCGTGGCCACCCTCTCCCCAGCCCACAGGGAGCAGCATGCTCCCTCGCTGCTCACAGTGCCTACATGGGTAATGGGGACTGTGGGGCACCCAAAGCTGAGCAGACAGTGGCAGATGCAGAGCAAGGGGTTACCTGTACGCATTTCTGGAAACGGGGTGAGGATCAAACTTAAAGAAGATGATGCACATGGGTTCCTGAGGGTGGCTTTGCTCACATGGGGTCAGACGGTCTGCAGGAAAAGGAAAAAAATGAGTTGAGTAAACAGCACACAAGAGAACCACCTTCCATGCCATCCTCCCTGACCCAAACAGAACCACCTCTGAGATGTCCCTGATTGTCGCTGGACATGCCAGAGCCATGTGCCCAACACTGTGACACTCACCAGCACCGCACAACCATCTCCCTAAACATACACACTCATCAGCTCTGCCTGGACTGCCCTGCCACCTATGGTGCTCACTGGCCCTGGACACACTGCATGGGGGTGGCAAGTGGGTGCTGGAGGTGGAAGCAACAGCAAGAGCAAGAACATGAGTACAGCCGGGGCAGTAGGCAGGCAAACCAGCCCATGCCCGCCCAGGAGGCCCTGTGGCTTCCTCCATGGCCCCCACCCAGACTGCCCATTGCTTCCCCTGGCAACAGCACCAATTCTAGCCCCTAGGCACTCAAGGCAGGGCCACATCATGTCCAACTGGCCTGGGGACACTCTGTAGCAATGTCTACAGAAGGCCCTTGGCACATGCCCTCTGCCCACAATAGCCCAGGCACAGCCAGGGGACCCAGAGGGCCCTGTATACCCTTGTCAGCAAGGAGCACAGGCCAAAGCACAGGTACTGGTGACATGGACACAAACCCAGGTGCTGATGAGTGAGGACTCAATGCACACCTCCCCCCACCCCCCGCACAAACGAGTCCCTCACCCAGGGCCTCTGGGACCAGCAGGTCTTTTCCCGCAAACAAATTGAGAACTGAGATGAGGTTCCAAGGCCACCAACCCTGGACAAGGTAACTGTGAGAGTTTCCAGTCCTGCATGTGTATGAGAAGCTTAGGACATGGCTCCGGTGCAGAGCCAGTGCCCGCAGCCAGAAAACGGGCAGGAAAAGAGGCTGTGCAGGTACTAAAAGCTGCTGAGAAGATGACCCTAGAAGAAAGAAGCTGATGAGCAAGGGGGGAAGGTGTGTTCAGTGCATGTGCATATATGTGAGGCTGTGAGGTCTGTGAACATACATAAGTGCATGAATATGTCTCCCTGTGTACTTGTGTGCAAGTGTATACTTACACACATGTCTGTATGCATATGTGTCTAGAGGAGGCCACTGAGCTCCAAGGCCCTAGCCTGCCTGGGCCACTGAGGGTTTGGAGAGGGTTCATGCAGGGCCTGTCCCAAGATGCTAAGTGCACAGTGCCTGCTAGAGCAGGGTATGGGCTTTGCCCAGTGGGGCACATCTGTAAAGCAGGTCTGTGAGTTGGACCCTCACTGGGGGAAGGAGCTCGGGGGGAGGGGGATGAGATTCCCAGACCCAGCCCATCCTTGCTCCAGACCTCAACACAAGCCATGGCTGCTCTGCCCTAGGCCTCAGAGTGACCACACAGGGGAGGGGGCCTGCCTGCTAATCAGGACACCTGCACGGTACCCCCTATAGGCAAGTGGGCAGCAGGCATGGTCCAGGGAGTGTTCCAGCTCACTGCCTCAGGCCCAGGTCCCTGCTATCCACACACCACAGATCTGGGAGAGGCCCACCATCGGCCGTGGGGACAGGCAGGTGAACAGTGACCGTGTGAGCTCCTCTCTGACATCAGTGCAATCGTGCCCAGTTCTTGGGTCTCTGAAATGAAAGCTTTCCTGTCTCAGAACTCACAGAAGGGAACATTCCCACCACGCCAACCCTGCTATCAAAGCTGTGCCAGTTCCCCTTGGGCAGCCAGGTGGACAGCAGGGGTTGCAGCCACAGAGCACAGAAGAACCAAAGAGGGGTCAGAGCCCTAGGCTGGCAGCTCAGACACAACCTAAGCTCAGAGTCATGCAGAGGCTGCCAAGCTCCTAGGGCCTTCCCGTGGACAATGCCATGGCGTCCTTGCCACTCTACTCACTTTGCTGACTGGTTTGGCGGGGGTGGGAGGATTCACTCGACTACTGTCCCCACTGGCTCCCACAGACTCAGCTCCCTGTTTCCCCCAGCTGCGGCAGGCATGGGCATTGATGATTGCTGCATGGAACCAACCTATGACCTCAGTAAAGCCTGTGGTTATACAGGTGAGGTGTTGCCATGGCAACTAGCAAAAGTGCAAGGTGCTAGGAGATGTGCAGCCATGTGAGATGGGTTGCTGGCCACCAGCCTGAGCTGGAAGTGCCTACTGGGGGCCATCGTTTCAAGGGTGCCTGACGATTCCAATACTGGTGGGCAGGCTGGTAGAGCGGACTCTCCTGGTAAAAATAACTTAAAATGCTTGAAAGAATATGAATACATCTTAAAAGCAGCCAAGAGCTTACAAGGTCATGTAGGATTTAGCCAACATCTTGGAGAACACAGGAATCCAGAGAGGAAAGAAAGCAGAATCAGTGGTCGTTCCTGCCCAGGGGTATTGACCATCTGGGCAAACTGGGCTCTGGTGGCCTCGGGGGGTGAGAGGGACAGAAGATCCAGGGGCTGTAGGAACAGTCCAGAAATGGAGTTTGTCCCTGAGAATCCCCATGAGCAAACCCAAGGTAACACCAGGGATCCAGGAACCCTCGTGCCAAGACTTGGTTTGAGGGACTGCCGTACCAGTCGTGCCCCTGGGCACCTGGCAAACCAAATTTCTCATTTGGTTTCAAGAAATTTCTCAAATTTCTTCATCCTAGATCTCCAAGAAGTCTCACAAGTAATTTCTAGGACAAAGAGCAGTACACAGTCAGAAAGAATTACATAACCAAACAAAGCACCATAAACAAGAAACCAGCAGAAAGAGATCCCCACACGTCTTGTAAACCAACTATGTTCTAATTGCAGAAAAGGGAGCTTGAGAATATCTGCAGAGAAAAGGAAGTGATCACGAATAAACCAGGAAGACCACAAAACAGCAGAAAGAACTGTTAGAAACAAAGCTATAGAAACCACAAATTAAAACTCGGCAGTGGATTTAACAGCAGACTAGACACGGCTGATGAGCTGGGTCAGTAGAACCATCCAGAACAAAGTGCAGAGAGACAGGAAGCATGCTGTGTCCCACCTGCCAGGTACAGTTGACGGGGTTCCCAGCACCTGCCACTTGACCATAGTCTAGCACAGAAGACGCAGGCCCCCTTACCCCAGAGGAGCTGGTCTCTCTCAAGACTCCAGAATACTCTAGCAGAGCCTGACTGGTGGTGACTGTGGAAACTAGGCTGCCAGTCAATGGTAGGAGCCCTGCCAGCCCATCCCTGCTGAAATCCCATCAGTCTAGAGCCCCCCCCAGGACAAAGGACTGTTCTGAGGGCTGCTCCACAGGAATGTGCTGCCCCACCAGGGACATGCCACTTTGGGTTGTCAAAGGAGAAGGCAATCATGTTTTCTTTGGCCTAAAATCCCATCAGTCTAGAGCCCCCCTGCCAGGACAAAGGACTGTTCTGAGGGCTACTCCACAGGAATGTGCTGCCCCACCAGGGACGTGCCACTTTGGGCTGTCAAAGGAGAAGGCAATCATGTTTTCTTTGGCCTACCACATCCCTCCCTGAGCTACACGCCTGGCCGCTGGTGAGACCACTGGCCAGGGGCAGCTCTGGCCACTAATGCTCACAGACCAGACACAGATCCTCCCCTAATTTAGCTGCAGGATCCCGCCATCCTAGTTGGCCCCGATGACTGGTAGACCAGCCCTCAAGATGTGGTAAGGAGGGCTCTGTGGTGTGAGGGAAGGCCACCGATGGTCTCCTGGCATCCTGGTGCCGGAGATGTGGGCACAGAGTCCAGGGCTGCGGCCTCGACGAAGACGCAGTCATTGGGAGGGAAGGACCAGAGGAAAGCCAGCCCCTGGGCAGGGGACCATCAGGAACTGCCTTTCTCTCCAATCCCTCACGCCCCACTCAAGACAGGCCCGCTGCCCACTGGCCCCTCCCACTCCTGGCTTTACCTCCTACCCACCCCACCCCCACCATCCTTCTCTGCCTAGGCCCAATGTGCTCTTTCAGCAAACTCCTGGCAGGTCCCATGGGTGAAGGGCCATTCTCCCAGCATGCCCCCACCTAGGCCCACCACAAAGTTCAGACGTTCTTTTCAGGGCCTGATAAAGTCCTCCCTGACACCCCTGCTCATTCTGCTACTTTCTCACCCCTGCCGACTTTCAGGGCTCTGAGAGCAAGCTCTGGATACAGCCTTTGTTGTCCCACTCACTGCACCAGGCCTTAAGGTTGGCATCTGAACACTGCAAGAAGCCACGCCCCACTTCTATGACCTTTGTCCAGGGCACTGCTTGCCCCAGCAGGCCAAAGAGGCCACAAGAGAAATGTGCACACTCAGCCAAGCCTGCGAGTCGCAGTGAGTTGTCACAGGCCCATCTTCTGCTTTTCCTTCCTTTCTCTCACTTGGCCTTTTGGCAACCAAGATGACAGCCAGGCAACCTAGGGCACAGAAAAGAGGCCCCTCGCCCCTAGAACTTGGCTCTCTGGACTGTGACACACTGAACCAGAGGAGGCTGGGCCCTGGGTGCCACAGGGCAGGGGAGAGGACAGCTGGTGACACCTGGGGAGCACCCTCCCATGCTAGGCACTTTACAGGTGTGATCCCCTCTCATCAATCCTCAGCCTGAGGTCATGTGGGAGGCTCACTGGAGGAGTGCTTACTGGCTGCACTTGGGGTGAAGGAGCAGGCATGTATGGGGTACTAGGGTCAGGTGGGCTTCCCTGAGCTCCCATTTGCTCCCAAGCAGCCTCCTAGGAGACCACGATGCCCCCAGCACTGGACCTGTACATCTGCACCACCCTGGCACATCCATAAGCCACTCCACCGAGCTTCATCATGGAAACACTGGGAGGCCAGCATGCCTCCTGCAGGTGCCCCACTGGCCCACTGTTCTCCCTGTGGCCTCCTCAGGGCATGAGAAACCCCTGGGAAAGGTGGTGATGGGGTAGCCAGCTCCATCTCAGCCACAGTGGAAAGTCACTGTGCCCATGTGGGGTCCCACTGGGGGCACTGTCTTACAACTGCCTCACACACATGGGTGCAGCAGGCCTTAAACCAGCCCTTAGGCATGGAGGATTCTAGAGAGTAACT